CTCCTGTCACCTGTGCACGTCTGGGACTTGTATCCCGCTGCTCCAGCTGTGGGTGCGCAGTCAGCTTTGATGCTGTGGTTTGGATGGGGAGTCCGCAGGGCACTTGTGGGACTGGAGCACGTTAGACAATGGGCACTGCCCCATCTGGGGCAGAGCAGCAGAGCTGAGGGACATGTGCCCTGCGTGCTGCAGCAGCTGCCCCTGTGGAGGGGCAAACAAGCTGTTTTCTGTATGCTGTGACAGGGACAGTGTAAAGAGCGGTCATTTCCCTCTTAGACAAGCCAGGAGAGCAGATGTGCGGGAAGCACGGCGTTCTGGTGAAGCGGGGCCCTTCTCGTGGTGCGGTGAGCGCTAACAGCAGCGTGCGTGCCGTGCAGCAGGGGTTTGCCGCGCTGCTGATTACCCAGCTGTATAAATACCTGATGAGCAGGCAAGCCTTGAGGTTTTAACCTTCTCCCGTGTATGCTCTCTCCAGGGCCTGCAGCCCTAGGAAGGCTGTGTCAGCCCCGCAAAGGTTTAAACACCGACCTGCAAAGGTGCCGGGTTGCTTTAAACCAGGCTGAACTGAAGGTATCTCATGCAAAGCCAATGTGCTGGGGGTGGCAGTGGAGGGAACAGTTAATAGATGTTTTCCCTTTGCCTGACATCTGCCACCTTCCCCCACCCCAGCCCTTCCTCTGTTTATAACAAGCCATTTGCTCCATTAATGAGCAGTGGGCTGGCTGCCAGCCCGGCTCTGCCTCGCAAATGTCAACAGAACTGGGCTGCACAGGTGGGGCAGGGTTCCTCCTGGGGACTCTGCCCTACAGCTGTTGGGGGGGAAGAAACCACCCCATGCCAAATGAGGCATGTCAGCTACAGCCGTCACCAAAATGCAGCCCCAGAGCCCCAGGATGCCACTTTGCCTGACCCCTTTCAGAGCAGGCTGCACTTTAAGCCATCCCCTCCAGTTAAATCTCTTTACCAAAGTGGTCTGCACAGAGGCTTGTGCACAAGAAGATAATGGGGCTGTCAATTTTACAAATAATCACCACAGGGGCAGGAAAACAAGAGGGGGGATGATTGCGCCTGGAAGTGCAATGAGATCGTGCTCGCTAATGCAGGGCAACCCCGAGAGAGCTGAAGCGTGGTCCCCTGTGGCCACTGCCCCGGGTAGCAGCCTGCGGCTCTGCCTCGCTGTGCTGTGAGGAGCCCGCTCGCCCTGCAGTAGCTTCCCCAGCTCGCATCCCACGAGGACAACGTGGTTAATTTGCTAGTTGAAGCAAATTTCAAGCAGGTGAAATGCGTTAACCTTAATTAGCTCAGCAAGATTGTGGGGGAAATACTGCGGGCTCCCTCGTGGCTGCCTCCAGCAGCAAGTGCCTTGTTTCTGCAGGGATAAGGAGTCCGGAGCGAGTCCCTCTTTGCAGTCAGGGTTAAACCGCAATTTAAAATGAAGCAGAGCAGCCGGTTCTCCCCTACCCCTGCCGTGGTGTAAAGACTTGAAGCATTCAGGTGAAGTGGAAGAGCCTTAGGAGGGCAAGTGGTTTATCTCTGTGTCCCCAGAACATCTTGAGCCTTTTATATGGACCTGGATGCAGGACAGAGGGCCTGAAAGTCAGGAGCACTCAAACCATTAACCTAATGGAAAAATGCTCTAGGGCAGAGTGAGGTACCACAGGCCACCTTCCTATGTTTGGAAAATGGGCTTTCTGGCAAATGGGAGCAGATGGCCCTTAGCAGCTATGGCAAAGGCCAGCCAACCTGGGGAATCATTCCCAGGAGGAAGACCCGCTCCATGCGTGGCCTTGGGTAGGAAGCATAGCGGGGTGAGGGGAGCGCTGCTGCTGCAGCATGTGCGGAGGGGCACAGGTTGTCAGTGCTCCAGGACAGAGCTGTCACGTGCCGAACAACTCAATTATTGCTCGTGTTAGCAAACATAGCTCTGGAGAGCAGGAATCTGACAGATGCATGTTTTCCAGAAAAAAAAAATGTTACTGTGTCAGTAAATAGCAGAGTACGGGCTCACTGCTCAGAGAGCAAAAGCTGCCAGCTCTAATCTCTGATCTGCTGCATGCACGGTGAGCTTTGGCGGGACTGGCAGGCAGGGAAAGCACCACTCTGCCACTTCTTAATCCCTGCCTTTTTGGTTTGGTGTTTTCCCTCTCCCAAATGGGTCCTTTTCAGCGAGGTTTTCCTCTTTCTCCCCATTTCGCCACGCTGCATACCTTTCCATATCTTTCAGCAAAATCCCATTAGTTGCTGTCACCTTTGCCTGGGATTTGTTCATCCTGTCTCGGCTTGCCATCATGGTTGTTTCGGTCATTCCTGTTTTTAAAAAGAAACTGTTTTGTGCTGTGTGTGTCTGAGGAATCGAGGTCCCCCTGACATGGGCTCTGTCAAGGAGCAAGTGGCTCATGTGGAAAGGCAACTCCTGAGAGTGTTCATCACTGGCAGGGCTCTTCCTGGGAAGGCTCGAGGGGTGATAAAGCTGCGTGAAAGAGGGGGTTGTGAGTTCAGAGTCATTCATTCCCCAGGATCCCCATCTGTTCCGATGTGTGCGCGGTGCAGGGAGGCTTACCCTGTGCACTGGGCTCATAGAGAGGGTAGCCGGGCTCAGTTGTTAACTCAGGGACTAAAAAAAAAAAAAAAAAACCTTGCAAAGCCTTGTAGTAGCAACTGTCACAGCAATGCTCTGCAGCCGTGGGGAGAGCAAATTCTGCCTTTTCTCACAGAAGAGTTTTTTTCAGGACTTGGTCCTGACACCCCGTGAAATTAAAAGGTACAATAACAATCTTTTCTGTTGTGTCTACAAGTGTAAGGATATGCATTATGTTACTGATTTAGACACTGGTCATTTCTCTCTCTCTCTCTTTCTGTCTCTCTCTCTCTCTCTCTCTCTCTCTCTTTTTGATTGTGGGAGGGAATTGTGTGTCTCTCTCTCTACATTAGTTTTTTTTTGTTTTTTTTTGTTTTTTTTTTTTAATGTTGTCTGTTGAAGCATCCCACCATTTGGAGGAGTTTGAATAAGCTTGCAAATGCCCAAACAGGTAGTGATACATACTTTTTCCGCTCCCCCCACTGCCCCAGTAATCAAGGCTTGGTAGCTGGTGTCTGAACCCTTCAAAGGCAGGAGTCCTCGCAGAACTAAGGAAAAGCCTGATGTTGAGAACTCCTTTTGTTTGTTCAATATTTATGAAATGCATCCTTAGATAAGGCTTTAATCTTGTGCGCCAAGGAGGAGGAGTTGGGCTAACGCAGTTAGACGTGTGTGTGGAAATGTTTGGGCCTCCTTTGGTCCTGCTGTTCCTGAAGCTAAGAAAGGGATTATCCCGAGAGGGCAGCAGATGAGTTTGGTTTCTGGGCTGCTCATGTAAGCAGCTTCCTCCGTCTTCTGTAATGCAGCATTAGATTTAATTTCTTCAGGCTAGCGGTTTCACCAGCCCTGTGTGATCATCTGTGTATGCCTAGACCTCGCGCAGTCCCTCTGGGACTCCTGAGCCATGCTTTGTGCCAGGGAGACCATTCCAGCACACAGGCCTTGTTGTTCAAAGCTGATAAAAATGATTGTGAAAGACAAGTTTCTGCAAGCCAGACTTAGAGTGCATTAAATAAATATAAATTTTATTAAAAACACCCACATTTCAGCGTTATCAGGAATGATATAATAATAAACAGCTTTCAAATAACCTGCATTACATTACAATACTTACAGTATTTATAACCATCCTCAGATTTCTTTTAGACATACCAACATTTCATGAAAATGAATGAAACTGAAGTATAAAAAAAAAAAAGTAGAACATAAGCATAGAAAATGCACACAGAAGTTCATTACCTTAGTGTCAAACTGCTAAAGTTTCCTACAGAAGTTAACCACTAGCTTTAGGAGTGAACTTTATTCCACTGTGCGTCAATCAAGATGAAAAAATTCATTCAAGTAAAGTTGACACCACTCAGAAGCATCTTCAAGTATGGCTATAGTCAACCTGATAATCCTATACAAGCAAATCTGTCTGCTTTGTCATTCGTTCCAACTGAGGCAGGGTTCTGTACACCAAAAATTGCAAACTTGGATATTTACAATACATAATTGATTCACCAGCTAAGCTTCCTGCTCTTGCTGCCAGCAGTTTGGCAAATGACGGTGTACATATTAACCAAGCAACTATGGATTACATGAGTAACATAGAATTTAAAAAAAAATTCACGAAAAGATGAAGATTTATAATGATTTAATTAATCTGATATATAGCCATCATTAAAAAAATTTAAAAAGATGAAACTTTTGTTTCAATGCAGTGGGTAAAGTCACAGACTGAGAATTAAAAAACAAAATTGCCATAATAAATATTTGACCATTAAACCCAAAGGCCTCCTTTGATTCGCTCGAGTTAGGTTGTGATTCTGTTAGATAAAATTTCTTTCAACCAAACTTAATCTTACAGTATATTGCACAAGATACATCGGGGACATGGAGGTTTGCATGTTTAGGGAAGCCCTTGTACAGACTGTACCTTTCTATATTTTACTTTATTCATTACAGTATCTGAGAAGCCTTGTTTAGAGAGTGACTTGAAGAACTCTAGCAAACAGTCACTTGCCAAACCCCTGCCTTACATGTTTCCTTTTAATCAGCTCAGTGCATTCTACTTTCTTCTTGTTTATTCAAAACAGGCAAAACATTCTAAATCTCTTGAACACTTTCATTACAATAAAAAGAACTAACGAATTTACAAAATTAGTTTTAGTTACATCAATACATGTACAAGAAAAAATAGAGGAGGGATTCAAAAGAAAAGCATTAAATCCCTGAAGAAAAAAAAGAATAATATATTTAACCTACAACAGCTTTACATACACACAGGTGACACGTTGGCATAGGAGAACATGAGCTGAAATATCCCTGAATTTTTAGAACCAAAAAAAAGTTGAAGTTCAAGTGATACTTGCTAAAATATCAAGTATTGAGAGAGTTTTTTTTTTTGTTTGCTTTGTTTTTTTTTTTTATTTATTTTTTTAAAGGCTATTGGGGGGGAAAAGATGGTATACAATATATAAACTTTCACACTCAGTTCAATATCCTATTGCCAAACTAGTGTTGAGGTATATGACAAGTAGGAACATCACTCAAACCTTTTAATGTATTTTTAGCTCACATTATGATATATTTGTAGCAGGCTGAGTAGCACCATGATGTGAATTCAGCTCAAAACCCAAATATATATAGATTTAATATTTTTACAGTACTAAAATACTAAAGCATTGCGTTAAAAAAAGTTTTGTTTACAATTTAATTTACTATACAACTCTCCTGCTTTTTTTTTAATAGAAATTAATGATTTAAAACCACCACAGCAAGCCAGCTGCCTATTTTTTTTTCTATTTAATCAACGGAATCACACAGAACTAACCCTGTTTCATTCATTTTGTGTAGGCATCAGTCTGTTCAATCTTTCTGGAAAAGAGGACACTTGCACCAAGAAATGACTTGCACCACAATGTACATAATTATCAACACAAAAGCAATCTGCCATTCAATATTTGAAGAGCGTACAGATCTTTAAAAACAGCAGAAGCCCAAGCTAACTAGTTGTAATTGGTTGCATGCTGCTAATTATTACCTGTGGTTAATATAAAATTCTTTCCTTAAAACTGTACACATTGAGCAATGAACTTGTCATAATAATTGTAGAAAACAGTTTACAGTATAGCTTGTGAGATGAGCACCAGAAAAACATGTGTTTTGTGTACTAAAGTATTCCCTTGTATCCAGTAAGCCCCATTTTTACTGTAACTGACTGTATTAAAAATGGATATGTAGTCCATTAGCAGATGCACGGCTAAAACAAAAGTATTTAAAAGTTTTTTTTTCTTTTAAAAAAATTATCTTTGCATTTTAAAATCAAAGTAAACTTTTTTTTTCTTTTTTTTTTAATGTCTTAGTACCTTAGCATTGTTCAAGTTGCCAAGCTTAGGTAGACAAAGTGCTTTTGAAACACTATTTAAAAAAAAATATCTCTCTATATATTTTATTGTCCTTTTCTAGGACTTGACTGGATGAGCAAAATCCAGACGTCTTCGTAATTCCCATATGTTAAAAAGTAAGCTTATTTTAACATCAGGTGAATTTAATACATACATCAATGAAAAGGTCCTCCTTGTTTCTGAAGAACATTTGAGTACATCATTGACATTTTAATTGTTATAAAGGCATTAACTGTTTAACTGTTAAAATAAAGACACCATTCTCTTAGATAGCACCATGTTTTAGAATATCCAAACAAATTCAGTGTTTTTTCTGTCTATTCATTATGTTTTTTTACGTATCTACTTTGTTAAATAAAATCAAGACTATTAAGATTACAGTAAAAACTGCATGTTAAAAAGCCATAATTCCAGTATTTCAGTACATCATAGATTCAGCACCAGATGTTATTTTAAGATTCCTGCGGTTGTAATACTACAGTATTATTTTTTAGGGTTTTTTTTTTTTTGCTCCTGTTCCATGACTTTGCAAACTTGATGACATTAAAAGTGGTCACAGATGTGCAAAACGTAAGAAAAAAAAAATCCATTTGCAGATTATCTCTTTCAGTAATGGAGCCAGTGTTTTCAAATGTAAATTGCAAAACACTTTTTTGTTTTGTTTTTGCATAGAATGCTTTGGTCTTGTTTCCTACGTGCCATCTGTGACCACTTAAAAATCAGCAGAAAATAAGTGCGCTAGTAAGATTACCTCTTTTTGCTGGTGTGCTGAGGTTTTTCCCACTGATGAGTTTCATGAAAACACTGTTTCCTTCCCCAACTTTGTCTTCCCCCGACCCTAAACAAGAACTACCCTACCGCCACGCTGCCTTTTTCCGATGAGGTAACCGGCAAAGGGGTGATGTTAGATATATCTGTTGTAAGGCCCTGTAACCCGTGTAAAGGCATATGGAGACGTAGTTACTGTGGAGTCTGTGGTGACCGACAGCGTCCGCTGTGCGAGAGACTTGATGAAGCGCACGTACGTTGGTTCTGAGGGTTCGTGAGGTTCTGCAGGCTCTCGCTTTGCTTTTTTGCCGTAAGTTTTCTGAGGCACGTAGTCTGGACCGTATTTCTCGCATTCTTCCTCTTTCTCCCTTGCCTTCTCAGCCATCTTCGCCTCCCACAGAGCCAGACCATGTTTTGGCTCATTCATGCTCTTGTGCTGGTAAAAGACAAGGGATATTCTGGTGGGATGGTTCCTGTTGGGGTTTTTTAGGGGGGTTGTTGCATGGAGCTCACGCTTTGCACACTCTATAAGAATTGACCCATGAGATGGAGCAACTGCCACTCCTCCAATTTCTGGATCCAGAAAGCTCTGCTCGCTATCTGACCAGACTTCATCGGGATCCTCTGCTTTTTCAGGATGCAGCACATCAGTTTTATCTAAACCACCCTGGGGAGTAGTCCTATCATGGTTCTGACCTGGAAGCATGTTAGACAGACCATTAGCTGCGTGTGAAATCATTTCGCTCTCCTTATGTTGGAGATGCAGCGAATTAGGAGCACCACTAAATACACTTGGAGCAGAATGGTAGTCATGTGCTAAATGCGGTGCGGGTTGTGTGTGGTGGTGATCACTTGTTTTACTCATGGAGGCATAGTCCATGCTTGGATTACTCAAATTAGATTTTAACCTTGAGGCAACCTCCATAAAGTGGCCATCAGCCTCATGGTTGGAGTAAGAGGAAAAAGACCCTACATGGTGTACATTTGGTCTGATGGTGCAATTACTGAAGGAGTCTACCTGCATATTTTGGTTTCCATAATTCAAGTACTTGGGACCAAAACTCTGGTTATTCCCAAACCTATGCTGGTATAATGTTTGAATGGGCGGTAGGCTTAATTTAGACATAGGGTCTTGGCTCTGACACCTGTACAAGTCCATGTGCTGATGCTGGGAAGAGTAGGAGCCCAAGTAAGAGGGGCAGTTGTCCATAGATATGTTTCCATTGCATTGGTAGGGTGAATATTGATTATTTTGACTCAGTGATCCTGAATAAGGGTTTATGGGACTGGAAGAATTCAAATAAGACCCTGCAGGCTGTGATGAGGTTGTATAGAGGTTCATGGGGCTGGACCCTCTGTAAGGATCTGAAGCGTACGAAGAGCTTGGGTAAGCACTGGCTGGATTAGGCAACCTCGTATAAAGGTTTGCAGAACCCGAACCCGAGTAAGAGTTAGCAGGATTTGGCTGAGGGTTGTTTGGGAGAGTGCGCTGTGGATGCTGCGGCTGCTGCTGCTGCTGCTGTGTGGCTGGTCCTGAAAGACGTAAAAGATCTGTAGATGTAAAAAGAAATAAACAAGCTTTTCTTTTCTCTTTTTTTTTTTTTTAACATGCATGCTTTCTATTAGAGAGGGTCTTCACGATAAGCATCTATGAAATTTCTAAGAAACAGTATGTCATATGATATATTAACAGTGGTTCCCTTTCTAGTATCTCAAATACCATCCTTTCAAAAGCTGAATGCCTACTAAAGCTACTCTTCCTGTATGGCACACGTCCAGGGAGATCAGGTGCTGGCAGCCACGAGGGAAAGAGGGCAGTGCCGTCTGCGTGGTCACATGCACATAGTCCAGAGAGCTGACTTGTCATTTAAGTAGCTCATGAAATGAAACATCAAAGTGCACCCAAATAGCCAAGTATAAGGTAACTTTTTTCACCAAGTAGAAAAAAATAACTCTTGAACACCCATATTAATAGATCTGTCTCAAAAAATTGTCCTTAGCTGTATATGAAAAGCAACATTGACTTTCACTGATGGAGATGATGGTCAGTAACAACTGAGAATAGCTGAAAACTCAGAAAAGAAAAAAAATATTCATTAGAGTGAAATGGCATAGTTTATTGGTTAGAATCCTAGACTGGATCACAGAAAGGCTGACTTCCATTGTATTTCAGTGACCTTCTGAGTGGCCTTGGATAAATCACATTATTCCTCTCTGACAATTTTCTGTAACAATAAGAGTCATGATGAGTTCCTGTGCCCTGGACTCTTAAGATCTGTTGATGAAAACTGCCAGGGATTAAGTGGATTTGTAAACTTTGACTCCACAGAGGAAGAACCTGCTTTGCTTTTGGTCTTGAAACAGAAAATACAAATAGAATTGAGGTTCTCTGTGACAGCAGCAACCAGTGAGTGATGTGTAGATCACTCTCTTTTGGAAGCAGCATCACACAGTTTTCTTCCTGGCTTTTGGCAGTTAGTCAGTTAAGGATACTTAGCAATGCACTGACTGACAAGCAGGATTTGCAAAAGTAGCTGCCTTCTTCAGGTATTAACTATCCAACAGGGAAATAATTCTCACTACAGCATCACCTTTCTGCTTCTACAGAGTGGGCCACAGTTTGGCACTCTGCTGTTCATAAATGTGCAATATCCACATTTGCTTTCAATAATCCTCTTTGCTTTTTCCTTGAAAACCTGCTTGTGTTGAGAATAATGTTTTTTTTAAGACTCATGTCTTAAATGACCACAGTCTCTATGAAGCTTACCACTACTGATAGAGATCTTGATCACATTCATGTACTTACCTGCTAGCTGTTTTGCATGACCTGCTGCCTCTGAATTGGCTTGCTTGTTGCGTGCTGCAGCAGCCTTCTCTCTCTCAGCTTTGCTAGCCCCGTTCTCCAAGGAGGAAAGCTTTTCTGCCGCTGCCTTCTTTGCTTCTAGCTTCCTTTGCCGACAGGTCTTAACAGGCTCTGCCAACATCCTGACTTTCCGGCGAAAGGAGGTAAGGACCTGGATGCTGCCATTCCTCTTCTTCTCCTCCTGGCCTTCAGCACTTCCAAACTCATCTACATCAGAGACTTTGTACAAGGGGAGCACGTGCAGCTGCTCATCTTCTGGTGTTTGGCCAATTTCACGATTGTCTTCTCGAGTTAGTGTGCAAACCTGTCAAGAGGGCCGGTTAGCGTAACTCTCTGGAGCCCACGTGAGATGCAGACCTGGGGTGCTGGCCCGTGCGCTTCACCTCCCTCTTGCACCCTCAGGGGCACATTATTTGGAAACGCCAAGTTTCTGTGCAACTTAGGTGTAGCACAACAAGCCTGCTCTTTCTGACAGTGTTCATGTAAGAAACATGATATTTTGTATTTACGTTTGTGCTGAAATTACAGTATGTTTACATATTGCCTACAGTGAAATGACCTGCTAAGACAGCAGAAACTGGGACTTTGTACTCAACTTGTATATATTATATACATATATATTTGGCTACAATACATTAGCTAGCTACCCATTGGAAATAGTGGGAAATATAAAATGCTGGCATTGTATTTCCCATCTCCTTATGGTGGGAGGTTCCAGGACCTGTGAAGGAGCAAGTCACTTTAATCACTGCATAGAGGTTTGAAGAATTTATCGTTGCATCGTGCAGCAGGCTTACTGTGTTAACTCTAGGTAAAAGAGGTACTGCGAGTATCCCAGTGTGAAAAGAGGCCAATACGGACGTATTTTATAGGAAAGTTATTGCATCAATCTTGTGAAGGAACCTCAGCTAGAAATACCTATTTTGGTGGTGGTGGTGGTTGACTTGTCATTAAAGTCAAACTCTGGAAACAGGACAAATTTAGCTGATATTAAAGTGCCTGATTTCCTTGGTCATAAAAAGAACTGCACTATATACAGGAAGCAAGACAGTCCTGGCAAATTACAATGATTATTCAAACTTGAAGATTATTTTTTCCCGTGTTTAACCCAACCGTATTGTCACGGAGAAGTGATCTAGAGTACCTTGAAAACCAGGTGTTTTTGTATTATCTACAGAACCTGGGCTATAAAATGCCCAAGTTCAGAATGGAAGAGAGTGAAGTGGGTGGGGAAAAAAAAAATCTATGTCAAGGTTTGCAGATCTGCTCATCCCAACCAGGAATAAAATCCCAACTTCCAAAACTCTCTTCAGAAGAAAATTATGGAAAGAAGACGTTTGTTTCCTTTTTTAATTTATTAGAAGATATAATCCCAAATAGTTAGAAAAAAAATATTTCAAGAGGACAACTATAAAACATTTTGTTCCAGAAATGCTGAAATGGGCAGTTGGGCCCTGCTGGAACCTTCCTCCCGTTGTCTTCACAGTTTATTTCTTTTCCCAGTTCTATATTAAACTTTTCTTTAATTCATCATAAGTCTCCTTCATTTGAATGAACAATAGTGCAGGGGGTAACAAATTAGTTCAGTTACTGCTTAATGTTTCTTTTTTTAGCCATCTCCATATGTAACTATAAATTTAAATAGGCTGAAGATAATGAATAAATACAGGAAATTACAGGCGAAATAAGGAGGCTCTGTACATCTCTGGCTTACCAGTGTACTCCCGTTCTGCATGTTGTGCAAGTCCCTGTGAGCGTGAGCGCAGAAGTCCAGGCAGGCGGTGACCCCCGAGAACGGGCGACCTTCCTTCAACCCCAGGCGACACTCCGGTGCTCGGTGTTCGTACTCGATCTGCAAACGGGCCACAGGCGTCACTGCTACCCCCTGCGTGTCCTCCTCTACTTACAGAATTAGCCCCTAACACTCCCTCTGCGTAACGTGCTCGTCTCCTAGCATCTTGGAGGTAGTAACTGAGAGCAAATAAAAGCAAGCAATTATTTTATAGCAGTTTCTTATTCATTCTTTGTTCCTTGCTGTGTTACCTTGTTACCTTCTGTTGCTGCCATGCTTGTGAAATTAGCCAGCAATGCCTTTTCTTACATACTACTGTTCATTCTCTGCCAGAGGTTTGGTTTTTCACATGGCAGAGAGATAGCGTGGTTTCAGTGGCTGGCACTAGAAGAGTGATAGGTTTGAGTAGGCTGGAAAAATACCAAACTACTAAGAGAAAATGACTTTGGAAAACTGACTTCAGAATGACTTCATAAAAAAAAATTTGCTTTTTGATTTGTAATATTTCGGCACACTAGGAGTATATTTCATTAGCTTGGGTACAACACCAGCCCATGACCAAAAAGGATAGAGAATTCAGACCAGACTGTGTTTTGTGCATGTGTTTTTACTGTTAAGGAGCCTTGCAAAAAGTATATAATGAAACCATAAACCTTACACAGAAGTATACTAAGCCTTGCACAAACTATGGTTTCATATTTTGTTTAGAAAATTAAAATTAAACCAAACTTGTAATATGCTTTGCTGAAATTACTGAACTTTTGTAGGTAGTGTAAAACAAATAGAAAGGGCTATACTTAATGGAACTTTTTAAAAGTTAATGTGAAATTTATCTTTCAGAGGTTTTGCCAAGTTTTGAAACAAGTTGACTAGTAAAATGCCTAGCTTGCGCTCTGCTCTTTTTTTTTAAATTGGAGCATACACTTACGACTATATTTATTATCACTAGTATTGAAGCATAAAAGCAAAACAAAACCTGAAACTTATAAACTCCTTTGGAATTAAAAGAATAGTTTGAAATATTATAATTTGGTTTAGATTTAAAGGGTCTGATTAAAATATATTGGGGCAAATTTTCTGAGATGTTCTGTTGGGTCTGAATGGAGGAAAAAAAATACTAAAAAAACAAACCCAGAAACTTTCTAATTATGGTTTATGATCCAGCAACAATCCAGATTTAGATTAGAACAAATCTGTGAATTTGCCTTTCTTTTCAGGATTCAAAGGGTTATTGGTTTTAGGGCTGCTTCTTTGTACATCCTTTCACTGCCGCTAGAAAAGTTGGCCCTGATCATCTCTCTTTAAAGCCACTGACGGCAGCTTGATCACGGGTTCCCTACAAAAATAAGATTTGCACGAGATCACTGAAATAGACAAGCTATATAAATGACTTATTACATGAGGTAAAACCTGAAACTAGTAAAACCATATACTATCAACCTGCGTCAGGCAGGACTATGGTTTATATGGAGAAAAGTTCTTTAGAGAATTTTGTGGGAAAAGAAAAGCAGCCCAAGCACAGAAGTATTTTATTGTTCACCACCCCCTCATTTTTTCTCCTTCCTCTTTTTTCTTCTCTTGCAGAGTGGCCCTCGGATATTTGGAGAGATAACCACAGCTAGTGGGCACAGAGCCACAATTTCCTCCATAACGAGTCTCCAAGCATTATCAGATCAAGTAAGTGGAATCAGGTGAGTCTCAACTGAACCTGCTTACTCTGCCTAGCTGTCACTAAACATGCAGTAAAAGAGGGGATTTTACCACAGATAAACCCTAACTGGACAGTCTTGTATTACAGTTTACTGTGTCTATTGCAGTGCAAAGTCTGGCTTGTTCGAATGACTGCTACAGTAGTAAGTGTTTTTGTTTTAAGGATTGCTTAAACATAAGTGTTGTCAATAGGAGAGCAAGAAGATATCCTAGTTTGCTGTGATGCTGATAGAGTTTGGAGCCTGTAAGCTCTGCGAATGTCTGCAGGGGTTGCGAGCCTCAGTAAAGACAAGAGAGAAGACGAGCTAAACGTTTGCAAGGGGCACGGTATCAAATTTTTATGCAAATATCTGAAAGACGTTTGGTAAAAGAGTTGGTGCATTAAAAGCTGCATGAGGTTCCCCAGTTGTGGCCGTCTTTCACCTCCAACATCCGTGAACACTGCCTGACAGGAGAGGGGCCTGTGTCATGCCATGGTGCAAGAGCGCTGGTACAGGCACCTGCGTGTGTGTGTGCGTGCGTTTGAATGTGAAGCTTCGTTTTAAAAGCACTTCTATAATGGTTACTTTGGTAAAAGCTAAATTAATTTGTGACATGAGCAGAACTGAAACTGTGGTTTGAAGACTCAAGTCCTTGAACACCATACGCTGCCTCCTGACACTGTTAGCAATCTCACGCCATCCTTGTGGCTGTTTTGCTAGTTTGGCTCACAAATCATGCTAAGTCCAGGCACGTTTTATTACAAAGCTGAAGTGTTCTGCTCCAGCGTGAAATTCAACTTTGTTGCCTTTAGGTAGGTACAGAGATAGTTTACTTTAGTGGAGCATATTCTGCTGCTTTTACTTTTGAATGCATTTGAAATGAAATATAGCATTTTATTTATTTCCATTTGGCTTTATCCCAATGTCAAAGTAGTAGTGGCACAAAATGTACATACTGGTTTGACCTAAAGATGACGTATTAACAAAGCATAGTAAAAATCCAGTTATTTACATGACTGCTCTCACTCCTTTTTTTCCCCAGCATACCTGGTTATTATATGCATCAGGCGCAAGCTTCTTGTAGGTGGGAGCCATCAGGGTGGATAGGTTCTGCAAATTGGATTCTAGTTTTTCTTCCTGTGAACAGATAAAAGAAAATTTAATGACATGCCCATACTGTATGTATGGAATCTAGCAAGTCAGATAGATGTGTAAAGGTCTAGATCATTGTCGTTCCTGTTTAGACAACACCTACTGTCAATCTTCTTTTAATTAATGCTGATCATAACTGTGATTCTGGTGAGAGGACATAATATGGCATGATCTCCATCTGATTTATATTAAAAAGAATCACGTTCTCCGTCATGGAGATGTTTTAGATCAAAGAATGATGACCCTCATTATTTTCCCTATTGGAGTTCTGAGAAAATAATACTTCTTTTTAGAAAACTCAAGAGAAGTAATAGGAGAATGCTCCATCAGGTTAATCTGACTAATTTCAGGAGTTTCCATACTGAGATAATAACACTTCAACACATTTAAATTATATTTTCATGCAGCAATCTACAATTACTGGAATACTTCAGACTTTTCAGATTTCCCAGTTCTTAAGCAATCAAGAACTGTGGACATGTCTAGCAGCCAGTGAAGCGGAGGCAGGAATGACCGGTTTTCATTCAGAAGGAGAGGTACCCTTTCAAAATGAAAGGATCTTTAAAAAAGAGTGCTCCAATAATCTACTCCAAAGATATTCCCCATCATTTTGATGAGAACCCCGTATTCAAAACCTCACTTAAATTAAAAATAAGGGCCTCATTTCAAATGCATGAAAAACAGAGGCGTAAGAGTGTTGTACTTGCTTTAAGGGGTCTGTATATTTCAGTGAAGGTGTGAAGAGCTGTTGAAAAGCTATGTGCTTGGAGGGCATGTTTGGTACATTACAATTCTATATCTCCTGGTAAAACTTTGACTTGATGGGCATCCAAAATGACATTATAAAATGGTCAAAAATATCTTGTGACCTTGTGGCTGCTGCCAAAACCTGCTGCTTTTGTACAGCCAGTAGGTTACAGTTTGTGTTACTTCTAGTTTTTGTCGGTGAGGGTCCTATTTGTGTTGCTCTGTTGCATGTTGACCAGCCCCTGAACTGGATGTGTGTGTTTGCTGCCCCTGACATTGTGTGGGGACAAGACTGAGAGCTAAATATACTTTTGTTACCCAGTTCTGGCTTCCAGAAGGGAAGTAAATCCCTTCCACACAGGCTCAGAGGGTGCCCTAGCAGGCTCTGACCAGATTTCCAGCCTAGAAAATTTAGGGGCTGACGACTCCAGGGTATGATAGAGGGCTTTGTGCCACCACATGATCGAAGCAATTTTATAATTGCGGGGGAGAGACAGGGGCGACAGGAAGGGAAAAAAAAAATGTTAATGATGCTATTCTCAGCACAGTCCATACGATGCAAACATGCTCAGCTCCCTGAGCTGGTAAAATAAATGCTTGGATCTGTGTAAGATGGCAGAACACACTGAAAGCTGTGACCTGTGCAGAGTGCTCGAGCAGCAGTCTGGGGCTGCGGTTTGCGTGGGCGTGCTAAAACCAGGTTGGGCCATTAGACTTGCCCAGGTACACGAATAGCTGGAGGTCTCCAGCACTCGCCGCAACCACAGCTTCAAAGACAGCCTGTGTCCAGGGTAAGATCAGTGTTGCTTTACTCTGACTTGTTTGATACTGTTGCTAGCTTGCTGTGTTGCAGAGTTCAGTCTGGAAACTGTCCATGGGGCAGGAGTGCAGAATGAGTCTCCCTATTGTAATCTCCAGAGTTTTATCATACTTGTCTGCCATCCCTCTCCTCGGCTTGCCGGTTGCAATCTCGTGTGCCTTCAGTTGGTTACCCTTCCACTCTGTTGCAGGGGAATGTCCAATTGCAGGCCTCATACAGGCACCATTACTCAGGCCATGCCCTTTCCTCTAATTGCAAAAACCTGCACACCGTGTTGCATGTTTCTTTCGGGACTTTAACCAGCTGCCAAAATTTGCACAGTCAAATAGGCTGCTCCAGTGACTGGAATCAACTAGTGTCGACTGGCGGTTGTTTAATTAATCTACATGTGTGCAGTTCTAGCAGGGCTCTGGCCCCTGATTTCTTGTAGTGTGTCGCTCTTTGCAGAGCAACAGAAAACATTTCAGTGCAAAAGAGGCAGTTAAAAACGAGCACCCACCTCTTTTGGGTCATCCCCCATCAGCTTAAACTTTCTTGGAATCTTGCTTCTGGCGAACTTACAGCCGTTGTAGTACATGCTCCAGGAGCACCCAAAGGAAAATGAAGCACCACAAGTTTCAGGGTCCAGCCCTTGACATGCACAAGTCCGTCTAGAGAGGGAGAAAAAATAGCGATTAGTAGCAGGCGCGGGGGCCTGTAGTGCTTGCAGAGGGGTCCCATTCTGCTGGTGCTGTGAGGAGCCATGCCCTAAGAAGATGTTTTCCTGTATTTCCAGAGACGTTCACTTTGCTTTTCTGAGCAAGGTGTGTGGGTTTTCAAACTGTCCGAAAGGGCCAGCATGAGGGCTGCATGTGCTTGGCGGTAGGAGAGCGAGGGGAGATGGCAGCAGCAGTGCTGTCAGGCTGCCCTTGGCTGGGCGCCCTTGGCTTCACTTACTCCTCGTTGAGGGCGCAGCGCCGGTTGGTGAGTGTGCCGTACTTCCTGAGCGTGTCGGTGAGTTCCGAGTACAGCTTGTCGGCCAGGCTCGTGGGGATGCCCTCCCAGACCAGGATGAGAATCACGATCACGGCCGTCTCGCACGTGTGGCCCGCTCGCTCGCGCACCAGGCACAGCAGCTTTTCCTCCTGACTGCTTCTGCGGACTACCTGCATGCACAGCAACACAGCCCCCCAAGCCCAACACAAACACCACATGGCTTAACAGGAGAGCAGGAGAGGGGGAAGCCTCAGCTGCTGGGCACTGGGAGGGGTAGTTGCTTCTACTCCTGCCTTTCTCTTTGTACGCAGCAGCCCCGGTTGTTTTTGTGTAGTGACATGGGCCAAGGCCACCCTTCTGCTTGCTGAAGCTGGGAGAGGCTCTGAGAGGCAAATCCTGCCAGGATCATTGAAAACCACAATGGTGGAAACGAGCTCACTCAACACATCCCCTGTGCTTGGATTCAGCAAAAATATTCTCCTGCATCGAAATCATGGTAGAGCTCCTGCTTTGACTGGGGCAAGGGGAGAGCAGCAGCCAAGGGGCTTGGCCTCCAGAGCTGATATCTGCACTCAGGCAGGTCCCAGGAAGGGAGTGGGGAAGGGACTCAGTAACCCAAGTGGGGAGCTTTTTCCCTTTCCCTCCTGAAGTTAAGCAGCTAAACTTGTGATTAGCCTCCAATTGGGTGACCCTGCCCGCCCTTGCCCCAACCAGCATTCCAGCAGTGACAACAAAGCAGCAGAACTGCTCTAATAAAAAAAGATGTCCTTGCCTCTCAGTGCCTGAGCAATGTTTTTTTTCCAAAAGAAGGTGCAGTCTGGCACATAAACACTGTAATTATGTATCAGGTTTTTCCTCATCCTGTGTTTCCCCAACCCACCCAAACTGCTCGGTACTGTTTGTGCCAAAACAAGGCAGTGTTTGCTAAGAGGGTGTACTAATGCCTGCCTTGAGCCGGGAGTGCATTTTAAAAACCTCAGTGATGCACTTGCAGGGCTTCTTTCTGAGCTAAAACTAAACAGGAAAGAGAGTGGCTAAGGTTGTGCATCTTAAATCTAAGTGAAAACACTTTCCTTTGCTGGTTTTGATACCTTCAGGCCAAACTTTACACCTGCTGATCTCCAGACAACTTGAGTAAACAGAGTGCGAGCAGCGGCAGGAGCAGGCTAGGGACTTTCTGTTCAACTGCTTTAAGTTTCTTAGCGTCAACTAAAATGATGGTGCGTCGCTCCCGTCTGCTCACGTGGAGCATTGGTCATACTGGACTACATTAGCATTAGTGTTTGTGGTCACCACTTACCCATTTAGCAATAGGACATCCTTGGGAGCTTTTGCCTTCTTTCCCAGTGTAGACAACCCTCTCAATCCTTATAGCTTTACCCTTCTGTCCAAATCTTAAACAGACAAAAATATGTACAATAAGCAGATTCCTTTGGTTCTGTATGAACATGTAAAAGATGGAGCACATTTGTCAGTCTTACTTTAAAAATATGTGCATTACTAATTACAAGCAGCAAGGAGTATATAATACAGTTTATCTTGTTGATTTTTTTTTACGGTAGTGCACTGATGTGTTAAAATAGGCAAATGTCTTTAATACATCATAGATTAGTAAAATTTGTCCTTATCATCTTAATATTCAGAAATCCTTTAACAGTTTCTTTAGAGAATTTGTTACAGCTGGCATTTTGAAAAGTGGACTTGAAGTCTCTCTATTTCTGGGGAGATTTTATATATATATATGTATATAAATGTCTGGGCTAAATTTAAAGCTATTACTCTGCAACATAAATAAAAAAGCTGTCATGGAAGGGCTGGCATGTGGTAGTCACTCCATTAATTTTTTTGTGGTTGCACCTCTGTGCTTGATATCAGTTAAGTCATGATTAATTTTCATCATATTTATTTCCTTTACTTCTTCATCCATTTAATAATGTTGATTTCTGCACTTCTGCCTCACTTGTATGTTGAATTAGGATCTCAAGATGCCCTCAAATGACTTGTATCTGTTGAGAGTAAGGCAGGCAAGCCTAGTCCTTGCTGAAGCATCGAGGTGACGCTTCAGTCGAGGCAGAAGGTAGCCCCAAATGCGAGCAGTGCTAACTGTTCCTGGAACAAATGGGATCACCCCTCTGTGTCCTCAGATATGCCAGTTGGAAATACGTGACAAATGCTATGGGAAGCAACACTTGACTCTGTGAGAGAAGTGTCAGAGCTGCTAGGCCATTTCCAAGCACGTTCTCCCCCTGCAGCCGGGGTGCCCCGTTGCACGGAGGCTGCGTGTTACAAACCTCAGCAGTGCAAACTCAGGTGCTGCAGCGGCGCGCGGAGCCTCACGCAAGCTCTGCTTCCACAGTGTTTCTCAAAGTCTGCTGCTCTTGCTGGTGCTATGTTGCTTAACATAACCAAGCGTGCGGACTAAAGCATAGTCTCCTTCTCTGCTCATTGCCAATACAATACAGTATTTGCTCAAATCTAATGCTGCTTTGAGAACTTCTCACCTCTTATCCCTCCTTTTCTGCACTAAACACTTAGCGACATGCTCAAGGGCTAATATTTGCATTTAAAGTTCTGTCCTTTAAAGGAAATGAAAAATGCTTATTCTTAGATGTGATCTCATTGTGAAATTTCAGTGTCACAGGAAATTATACAAACAAAATAGAGTTGTACTACACATGCTCTGCAGGCCACCGTTAAGTCACTTTTTCCTACTTAGTCTAGCATGTTCATATACCTTTTGTTTCTTTAATTAACCACATTAAAGCGCTTTTAAATCTTAATGTTTTCTATCAGTTTGCTAATCTGGATTGCAGCACAACTGTGTGCTGCTATAGAAATATGTTGTACATTACGCACAGAAAATTAAATGGACTTTGTCTCAAATCTTTTCAGCTGTCACAAAGGAATTTGTGCCTGATGTTTGTCATGTTTGCTTTCAGAGCAAAGCTGACTGGCCTGGCAATCCCAGCAAAACTCACCCTGTGCAAAGCAGGGCCTGGGAGAAGGAAGAGGTAAAACATAGGCTTTCCCACAGACTCTGCAAGAAATCTGTTCTAATAGAGCTAAAATATCAGCTGTAAGTAAGTAGGAATTTAAATTTTGGTAATTTAATTAGGGGTAATACCTTAAAAATCAACCCACATTCATGGGAAGGTGGTTTTAAAAAATGCCTCAATTGTTAGTAACGTCACCAACTGCACCCATAAGAAACAGCTTGAGGGTTCCCCAATGATGGCATCACACGGCTCCTATAATGCAAGTGATTGTAAACTAGCTGGTGTTCAATTGCCTTCTCTTACACTCTGCTGAGCCTGGCTGAGTATATGTGTGTTACCTATTGTCTCTTGGGATTTCGTTCTGCCAACATAAAAGGAAAGTAATTACCAAAAAAGTAAAAACAGTGAGGTCAATATTAAGGATGAAAAATCGCTCTGAAGTCAAGAAATGCAAATGATTCCATCTAATAATTGCCAGCATGATATGAATGACTTTCCTATTTTATTTATTATTTGTAAACAGGAGAGAATAAACAGGGCAATTCAAGCTCTGGAAATAAGAAGTCGCAGCAAGCTCCTCAGGAGGGAGGAGCTTCCCCTGCACGGGACGGAGCAGCTTTAGGTAGCCTGCATGCATCCGAGCCTCTCTCAAAGCCAAAAACAAGTATCACTATTGGGGCAAGCCCTGCGCAGGAAATACAGGGGCAGAAGCGCTAAGACTAACCTTTGGACTAACCACCTAGAGTTAATCCGCAGGGTTCGAAATGCCCTCCATGGTGCGTGGTCACGCAGTGATGAGTGCAGGCCAGCAGACCTCGCTGAGAAACAGCGCTGCTGAGCTCAGGTATGGCCAGCTCGAGCTCCTACCCAACTCTGGAAGTCCAGATTTTTAAGGTAGTAAGAAATCATATTCCCATTTGCCTGCAACTTACTGGGGAGATTCTTAATTGCTTGTTTGTTTGAAGGGGAGCTGAATTCCCAGATACCTCTAAAAATCTGGCCCCTAGTGTCTGCCTATGTGTGCCTGCAGATACAAGTAATGCAGAATTCCCCGTGCAGCTAAGGGGACGCTGCTGTGGCGGAGCACATAACGTGAGTAGCTTTGAAATGATGATTGTGGTTTGCACTTAGACTTTTGCACTTTTCCTAAGTAGCACAGATGAGGTGTCCATTCAGTGCCATTCCAAAATTACTTGTTTGCTTGGATTGATGTAATAGATATATCACAGGATGCAACACGGTATGGGAATTCTCTTCACTCAAGATAAGGCTGTAATTTATATGCAGTACTCTGTGGAAGGGGGCTGTTTTGTCAGAAGGCTACTTAGGACTTCTTGGGTTAAAATCCTATTCCAAAACTGTGCAGTCCTCTGGAAGTAGCTGAGTTAGATTTCTCTCTTTAGGTATGTACCGTGTGTTAAATAAGGGACAGAGGGGAGAAGGAGGTGTTAGAGGTTGGTATTCCGCTCTCCGTGTTGCTCGCACCATGGCATTCCCGGCGCAGAGGGAACCCCAACCCGTGCCTGCTTCCCCAGCCACCACCAGCAGCCGGGCTTGGCAGGCTGGCGATTGCTTGTTCCTGCTCGGGTTCGCTGGCATCTGCCTCAGGGCGCCGCCTGTGCCAGCCAGCGGGCTGTTAGCCCTGTCAAATATTGTGACTCTGGTGAATAGTGCAGTGCGTCATGTTGGCAACACTGGAGTAGCTAAGCCTACAAGTAATTACTTGATTTGCAATTGTTTATTTCTTTATGTGCAAAAGCTGGAAAAATTCTGACATCTACAAAAGGATAAACGTTAATCTGCCCTGTGCCTTTGCACTAATTACCTTTCTTCCATGATTTCTCTAATAGCTGCCACATTAGGACCGGCTCCTAGATGGGTATAGAAAGGACCTTCATCTTTTTCAATAATTTGCTCTGTTTAAAACAAAATAAAGGTTATTATTTTGAAGCTTAATTCTTTACTGCAAAAAGTCAAATTGCAAAGCTTTACATCCAGCTAATTGGGATAGTGCTGTATTGGGCTGGGGGTGCAGAGGTTTCAAACACTTTTGTTCAAAGTATGCCCATGCAATTTGTACAAAACATGCAAAGCACGTGGCTAATTCTGCAAATAGTGTAATGCTGCCTGGGTGCCTTTTGCTAACACAAGTTGTTTCATACTGAGGCTGTATGCTGAAATCAAAAAGGCTTTTTCCAGTTATCACTAAACAGTTGTTTCTCCTTCTCCCACTTCCTCCTCTCCCAGTATCTAGAAAGGCGAATAAATGGGATAACAATGGTAAATATTGACCTTTGTGAGCTGTATGGCACGTGTTTTTCAGCAGATGTGTTAGCATGTAGAGACCTACAGCTTGAGAAAGTGGCTGGTAAGATTACGCACAGAGTTACTGCCACTTGCAGAAAGACCATGTGAAATGAGAGAAGCGAGTTTGCTGAAAGAAATCCTCCCAGGGCTCGGCCAGAACACTTGCATGCCGAGAATGGTGTCTCGCTTCTCCGTGTGTAGGTTGGCGCGTGTGGGCATTCGCAGTAGGTGCTACAGGCTCATGCTGGTGCCAGGAGGCAGGGAAGAAATGGCTGGACTCTGCCAGGGTGCAGCAGCGGGCAGGGGCAGGAGCCAGCCCTATGCTTTGGGCCATGCTAACTCCAAAGGCCAGGTGAGGTGATGTGGCGCTCAGCGGCCTCTGGAGATGGGACGAACACCCCAGAACGTGTCTGGGAGGAAATGGTTTAATTTAAATCTCCCTAAAAAGGAAATACCAGAAGCAAAGATCAATAAGCCCTCTCAGTTGCTCCATGGCACTGGAGCAACTCCTTCGAAGAGGAGAGGTGCTAGGTTTCATGCTTCATTATTTCCTAGAGGGGCTGCTAAAATGGATATTGAAGAATTAAAATTGTAAGAGGAGAATATCGTTGATTTAGCTCCCAGTTGCTGTGCTAGATGAAAAGACAGCAGAAGAATGCAATGGTTGCTAGAAAAACTTGTGCCAACTTCTCTGCAGAAATGGTCTTAAAAAACAGCCCAAGCAACTACTGAGTTTAAAAGCTACCTTTTGTAGATTGCTTTTTATAAAGCAAACAGGAACAGCAAGGAGCTGACTTCCAGTTTTGTTATATTCCTGGAGGTGGTGGAAATGCATTACCTCGCTCCCCTAGATCCTCACTGGTCTAGTACAGATCTAGATCACACCCCAAACGCTCGCTCAAAAAGCCAAAAGGTCAGTTTTGCAGTTTCAACTCTCTTAATTGGTACAAAATCCCAAACTTGCAGGGGCTAGCAGCAGGTGAAACCGCAACCAAGATGATGATGCTGGTGTGGAGCACATGTACCTTTTGGCTCAGGCTGACCTAGCGGTGTAAAACTAGAGAAGCAGAGTCGGAGCACGTGTGCTGGAGCTAGCTGGCCGGGTACGCCGTCAGTGCCGCGGCCTGCCCGCCCTGTTCCCCCGGCCTGCGGGACCAGAGTCCCCGCGCCGCTCTGCTGGTGCTGCTCCTGTAGCTCCTCAGGGCAGCTTGGTTTGCTTTGCATATGACGAGCAAGCGAAAGGAAGGAACAACTTTTGCAGCAAGCTGGGAGTCTGACACCCTCTTGGCCTGGGCCTGGTGAAGGCAAACTTCAGCAATTGCACTGTTTGAATAAAAATTGGAGCAAAGGATCTCCAGCTTTGGACCCAAACATATTTTATATATGCTACATTTGACCTTGGCCAAGAGATTATAAAGTCATGACCTACTCTTTATCAGGATGTTGTCATTATCTGTCTGCTGCTCAAGGAGAATGGATATGAGGTGATAAATTAGATATTTTTGTGCCATCCGTAAACATTCTGACTCAAAAAGCAGGCAGATAATTGCTTTATGAAATATGGAGAAGAGGGGCCCTTTTCTAGTGTTGGATAAGTGTAGTAGGCATAAGTGTGTAAAACTGCAGTTTTATAGGTCTTTACTAGTTAGTGTTTTGAAAAATAAAAACACTTCAACAAAAACATCCAACTATCCCCCACAATCGCAGCTTGAAGGCCAGTTTCCTTACTGTGAACTACTATTTTAGCACATTTCTCAGCACTTACCAACACAGCTGCAAGATGGGAAATCATACTGGGTTTTGACAGGTGTGTCCAATAAATTTTTTACAGGAGTATCCAATAACTTGGAAGGTGAGTCTAAAAAATTATTGAGAACAGTTCCAGCTGTTCTTTTAGTTGGGGTTTTCTCAGCAGTGGGGTTTGCTTGTTGATCTAAGACGGGGGTTTGAGTGTCAAATTCTGCAGCACTGGTATTTCTTGATAGTATGGTGATAGGGCCTGCTGTTTCTACCTTCACATGTTTGGGTGATTTGATAGTAAAAGTCTTGTGATCAAACAGTGATTTGACCTGTATCTGTTTTAGCTGCTGTTCCATTGTCTCAATGATGCTCTTTTGTTGCATGTTCTCACAGCCAAAGTGCTGATTCTCTTGTTTAATTGTTTTTCTCCACATTTTGTTTTCCAGCTGTCCAGTTGATGGACGCATGCAGGCATTAGACTTTGAGCCAGCCTCGATTTTTATGGGCTTGCGCACGGCGCTGGCACCAATGTCGGGTTTGGGTTGCTGGTGGGCTTGTTGCTCCTGTTTCTGTAAGAGGTGCCACCTGAGAGCAGCATGCTTTTGAAAATCCTTATGGGTTTGCGCCTGGAAGTGACAGCCTCGCTGCTCTTGCGAGTGCGGGGGCATTTGTTGGCCGGGGGGTAAGTACCGCTGAGGAACCTGTGGGGCTTGTTGGCTAGGGACATCCTGGCCCAGGCTACTGCCATAGCCTTGGGCTTGCTGGAGTGGCAGCTGTATAACTGAAGCTTGCTGTGTCTGTTGTTCTTGTTCGTGAAAACCGTGATTCACATCTTGCTTTGGGGTCAAGTTATTTGAAAAATACTGTGCCTGTTGCAAGTCCTGCATTTTGCTTGCTCCAAAGCGTTCCATCTTCGCAGCAGTCTCCTTCTTCTCGGGAATCAAGTGCACGTTGTTTGGGCAGGGGTGCTGCAGACTAGCGTTCGCCTTCTGGCTGTAGAGGGGAGCTTTACTGTTCATGCTCTGGACCTGCTCTAGTCTTAGCTGAGGGTTATGCAGCGGGAATGCGCTTGGTTTCATGTACTTATTCCCAGTTTGAAAACATTCATCTGCTTTAAGCTGACTGAAAGATGTCCTGTCGAGCGGCTGTTCGGTGTTGCTTTGGGAATGGGGAATGGCTTGGGGTAGCTCTTTAGTTTTCATCTGCAGTGCCTGTTGCTGGGTTGGGGTTAGCTGCGGGCTGCGCGACAGCTGGGTCTGCTGCGCCTGCTTTTGGAGCATCTGCTGCAAAATGTGTGAATGCAGGAACTGCTCGTTCTCCCCGGGCTGGGGGTTCAAGAGCTGCTGTTTCAGGGGAGCCCCTAACGGCTGCTCGGCTTTTGGCTCTGGCCTTTGCTGGAGATGGAGCTGCTGCGTAGGGTGTTGCTGCGCCGGGGCCTTCTGCAAGGAATCCATGTTGGCGAGCGGCGGCTGCGGCGAGTGTTTCTGGAATGGCAGCTGCTGGTCAGCTGCAGGAGGCGGCTGTAGCTGGGAGGTCTCACTCTTATACAGCAGAGGAATTTGTTCCTGTTGCATTATCTTCTGGCTCTGGGGCTGTCCTGCTGGCCCCTTTAATGCATCAGGACATCCAGCATACTGTTTTGGGTAGGGTGGCTCGGTCGCTTTGGCCTGGAATTGAAGAATCGACCGCAATAGCACTTCGTTGGGCTTCTGAGGGGGCTCTCCCTGGCGAAACTGAGTGGAGACCAACTCTATCCAGGCTGCTTTTGAGTAACGTGCAGTCTGCTGCACAGGCTCTTTCAGTTGGTCCTTTTCTTTCTCAGGAGGCATATCAGGTTCTCGCTGTCCTGGGAAGTGCTGATAGTGTTGCTGCAACTCGCTGTCACTTCCATAGGCCTGCAGTTTTTGCATGGGGAGCTCTGATGTCGGCGTTGCTTCTTTTGGGCGCTGCTGAGCTGTGGCGGCCGCGGCAGATTGTGGGTTGCTTGCACCGACATCTTGTTGGGACGCCTGAGGCTGCTGTGGAAGCCTCTGCTGCGCGGGGAGCTGTTGCTGGCTGAGGCCGGGACTTTCTGATATTGGTCCCTGCTGTTGCCCTTCATCCTTAATCTCTTCAGGGAGAGTTTCATTACATCGCTCGTCATAGGACCGGTGTCCTTCTCGCGCCGCGGCGGATAGTGCACTGTTCATTGCTGGAGCAGGAGGAGTGGAGGAATCATTATTAAACATTGAGTTCTGTTTAAACAAAGCACCATTATTTTCTGCTTGCTCAGAAAACCTTTCCAGAGCGGCCTTCTGAGCTTGCAGGTTACTGCTGGAATTGAGAGAGAGGTCTTGGTTGAGAGCCTGCCCCGTATTTCCATGGATAGCACTGTTTCCTACAGATACCTGGTGTGTCTCGTAGCCTGGAACTGGTTGCTGTAGCTGTAGTTCTGGTTTCTGAAGCGAATAGCTACCTGGCATTGCAGGTGGTATACTGGAGTCTCCTGCACTGTAGACCTCAGTAACCACTACAGCTGGCACTTGAGGCAGCTCTGAGCTTGAGGTCTGTGGGGAAGTGATCTGCCCTGAGGTATGGGATGAATGCGTTGTCTCGTAGGACAACTCATTAGTAGCCGGACTGGTAATGGCATTGATATGAGATGTGTTCTTCTGCATTGCTATGGAGACGTGTTCTGGATAATATTGAGACAGTGTTTTCTCCAGGAGTTCACCATGCATGCTTTCCATGGAAGAGGCAGAAACTGTAGCACCATTAGGCATTGGCACCGCCTTGTTCTTAAGTAGTAAGACAATGTCCCTGTTGTGGCAATGAACATTCTCCCGCTCCTGTTCATTTTGCACCAAGAGGTCTTGAGGGCTTTCTGAACCACCACTGTTGTATCTCGGAGTCTCTTTCAAATCTGAAGCTTCTTCATTTTCTTGTCCCATGAAACCCTCGTATTTCTTCTCACTGTAACAATTGGAGACACTTGGTTTTTCATAGTTATCTTCTGGCTCAGCTTTGTCTCCGTTTACTTCTTTGTCTTGTCTAACTTTCTTGCTCTGATGAAGTCCGTACAGAGAGGGCTCACTAAAAGTGCGTTTTATGCCACCGTTTTGCATGTATTTGGAATATACTTTCTTTTCCTGTAAGAGGTCAGGGCTAACTCGGTTGTTTGGGTTTCCCTTCCCGTGGGACACTCCATGGTTGCTTTTGATGAATAGCCACTCATGGTCACCATTGACTTCGACTTTGGGCCTCTCTGTTACGGGACTTCCATTCTGTAGCTTCATTGAAAAAGGCTCCGCCTGGCAAACGTGAGTAGATTGCGGTATTAGAAATGGACTCAATCTGTTGCCATCAACATGGTTGGTTCTGTCCTGTTCCATCTGGCCTGCTCCGGGGCCATCCACGAGGCTGCCCTCTGAACGTATCTGAAAGAGAGAAGAAATAGGGTTGGGGTTTGGCTCGCAGGACAGCGGGTCACTAGCGATTTTCGCCATGTTGGAGCGGTTACGTCCTGGCTTGCTGCCGCACGGAACGTGCACTCACACGCACACCTCGGGGGCTCTCTGCCGTTTGCCGTCCAGTTTTGCAGCCCCCATGTGCATCCCTTTTCTCACCCATTTATTCTTTGAGATGAAAAGGGTGTGTGCAAATAAACAGCAGCTACATATCTCCATTTAAGACATGGACATTTTAACAAAAAATCTCCTGTAGCAGCGCAAAAAGTGTTCTCTGCTCTTGTGTGATTTGTGTGTAGGCTCCTCAGTAAGGCGGAAAGTCATACAGAAACTGTGGTTCCCAGACTTGGTGCTAATCCTGTTATTTGATTATAGTGTGCCACCCCTCTTTTGTCTGACTTGAAGGATTATTACCACCAAGCTTGCCAATTAGAGGGGAAAAACCCTCCTTTTTTACGTCTTAAGCTGTCTGACAGGGTCTTTTAGTGCTGGCATTCCACCCACCACACAAGGGGCACAATACAGACATGTGAGACAAAACCGTTCCTGATTGCCAGCCCCAGAAATCCTTACAGTTCACCAATGTCTTAATAATGTTGATAGAAACAAATTAAGAGATTTCTAAAGGGTTTCAGAGAAGTGACATTTTCCATGTATTAATTTTCTTCTTAATTTATGGCCACCAAACCTGGCTTAAGCTATGCATTTGAGTTCTGAGCCTCACAGCTGTGGAACTAAAACTTGCTCTTCCCTGTTTGGGTGGAAAATCCCATTTTCTTGTATAACCTTTATATTTTATTTATAAAATGAAAATATTCCTTGCATGAAAGTCCTGACAATGTGCAGCGAACAAATTCCACACAGTGACAATGTAATCCCGTTCGCATCGCTCTTTCCCGGATCCCCAAGCCCCGTAAACACAGATAAAGCTGTTGTTTGACTCTACTTGTAATTTATTCCATGTTGGCTTTATGATTCTCAAACAGCCACAGATGACAGAAGACAGACCGACAGAGGCTCTTACAGATGTGAGGTTGCACAGGGAAAGTTTGGGCTCGTGCCTGCTTTGTCAGGAAGGTTTTGGTTTGTAAGAGAAGTGTAAAAGGTTCTCCGTTGCCAGGTCATGCGCGGGGGGACTACGAAGTCGGCACAATCCCCTGGCTTTTATTGCTGTTACACAGGAAGAAATAGCAGGGTGGAAAACTTCTCCCATCGCAGCTGCTCTGCTTGCATATTTATCCTACATGTATTTTTTATAAAATGATACCAAGGGATATCTCATTTATACAGTTTTAAGGGCAGTATTGCATTACTGAAGTGAGTAATACAATTTTAAAATGCTTTTCAAAGTAAGATTAGTTCATGAGATTCATTACAGCAGAATCTCTGCAGCTCTGATTTCAGTACCGGGACATTCAAACATAAATTTTGACTGGCAAGCACCTCTGCCAAGACTTGGACCTATTTTCTCCTTGTCCCAAACCTGGTCTTAGATTTACTTACAACCTCCTGAAATTCTTTCTCTCTGCTCTCAGATTACCTTTCATATGATGGAAGGAGAGAAGCTGTTTTCCCAAATACTGATACTCATACACACACACACAAAACAGTTTTGAAGTAAAAGCTAAGAATAAGAAGATGGAAAAGATTGTTTGTCCATCCTACCAATTTTCCCAATGAGGCAGGCATCCTCCTTTCTCCGTTTATTTTAATATCCTTCCCAATCTAGCTTTAAAGTACCACGAGACAGGAGCCATTGCAGCTTTCCCAGGGAGACTCTTTCTCACCAAGCAGAAAGGATCTCTCTGATGTGTCATTCTAGGCTGGGCTGCTGAATTAGGCTCCCAGAGCTTCTCAAAAATAAAATGTCAGCCTAATTTGAAAGCCCTTCTTTGCCTTCACACCTCTCAGAGCTAGGAAGTGCAGCTGAACCACAGCCCAGACATGAGTGTGTAGGCTGCTCTATTTCACAAATACAAAATGAAATTAAAAGTAGCATAGTAATTAACACTGCACTGTCAAACTACTTCTAAAATATATGTTTTTTTTTTTAAAAAAAAGATTTAATCTGTGTGGCTGCACCTTGAAAAACTTCCTTTGGCTGTTGGAAGTCTGTCTTGTGGCGTAAGCCTTGTTCATGTGCTGACCGACCAGGTAGTTAAAACTTAATTCCTTCCATGGGTTTTCAGGCAGTCTTTCTACTCATCTTTTTCCCGAGAGGTAAAGGCACCTTTTTATTTAGAAGTGGGAGCTGTCTGGCCTCACTAAGCTTGGCATGCAGCCCCCCAGCGGCGTGCATCTGTGCTTCAGAGAGTCTTACATTCACCCCATCGTTAAAAAACGTGAGCTTTTTTTTCCACTGCGTGACGTGGATGCTTATTCATTCTTCTCAAAAACCTCGCAGTATGAGTCAAACACTTCCCCTGAATGCTGATTCCCTCCAGTGCAAAGGGTAGCAAGCACTGCAAAGGACAACGTAATCATTTGGTTCTTTAAAATCTGCAGTTAATTCATTGATGAAAAGTGCCAGATTTGCATTGTTGAAATCCCTGTGGGCCTGGGGTGACTCTGCCTTACTCATCACTCTCTGTGTCTGCACTCAGTTACTCACAATCCCCCTGGGTCACATCTTAGCACAGATCTTGCCCAAGCAGTTACGAATCGCAGCAATTACTTGTAATTCCAAATTGGTAAGAGACAAATGGCAGTGATACCTTTATTACGGGCTGTGGCCCCGCGACGCTGCTGTTGGCGCTGCGGCTGGGCACAACCGGCCGGGCTCGCGGAGTCGCTGCAGTCCTCTCTTAATTGCTGCGGGGCGACCTGCGTGGCTGGCAGCCTGGATCTGCCTTTCCCTGAGCAGAGCGCTTAGGTTTTTCTCTTTCCCATAATCGTGTTTTATCCAGGCCATTTAGGAGTACTGCACATTTTTCTTCAGCTATAATTCATTAGAAATTCAAGTCACATCAGCAGCATCTGTGAAACAATTACTGCATCCAGGACTGACTCTGCAGTCTAATCCATCATAATTATGACTGGCCTCTTTGAAGATGCCATGATGCGTGACTTAAATATAGCACATTACTGTGCAAATGGATCAGCGTCTCATTCCACCAATATGCATTCGAGTTATAATTCAGTCCACCACTCTTTGACTTTTTGAAATACAAGCTTTATGCCTTTATTTTTTGCCACATATGGGGCACAAATTGGAAATCAGGCTCTGAAAGACAGTTGGAGACTTAAAAAAAAAAAATTAATGGACAAATTTGTCACGATCCTGTCACCTCTCTCGGTGTTAGAAAGGAGAAAGACTGTGGATGGCAGCATTATGAACAAGACAAACATTCTATAACAACAGCAGAAGTAGTCTTAGTTATGTTGCTTTGTTTCATGGAAAATCTTTCTTTGCTTTAAGCCAGTGCTAGAGATTCAGACCTAATTTTATATAGCAGCAGTAAAAACTTCAACTCTAAAAACTGCAATCTCCTGGACTTGTACATACATGAAATTGTTTCTGATGAACAGGGTCACATGTTTTTTTAAGTTATTATGGAATAAATGGTTTAAGCAGTTACAGTGATGCTCGAGACTGTGATTCATAACTGTGTGGTTATCACGGCACGTTATTTTTCTCTGGCCTGTGTAATTCTAGTTGCTTCAGCTGTGCTTGGGTTGGGGCCTGTAGGCAAGCTGCAAATGCCACTGGGGCGAGAAGTGCTAGCTCGGATCTCTAATGGCTGATGCAACACATCCCAGCTCGTTATCAGCAACGTGGTTTCATTAAGGCTGCGATGAGATGTTGAGCACATGAAAACTCGCCTATAGTTGCAGGATTTCGTGTTTGTTTTGCCCTCGAGCTGCCCTGTGTTTATACACAGAGCAAGCTTTCACATGGAGCCTAGCGGCAGGGTTGTTGCTGCCCGCTTTCTGGACAGTTCCTAGTTTGTAGAACAGTCTTTCCCTAAGGCAGAGTGACAAATACGGTGCCTTCAGAAAGCGCCTCCCCTTCTGGCCCCTAAAGGAGGTGCTCCCGAAAACGTAGCTCACAGAAGTGCACGCTGCCGTGAGCCACTCATGCTGCATGTTCATGCGGGAACAACTCTGCTGCTTAAACACAGATCTAGCTTGCTCTTCAGAAGCCAGGGCGAAGAGAAAACTTTGTCCTTATCTAAGTTCCAGACAGATCTATTGCTCAAAAGGGAGGCTGCCTCCATGCCGAAGACGCCTGGAGCGTGAGCCCCGCCGCCCTGGGGATCGCTGCCCGCGTCCTGCAGCCTGCGCAGCCAAGGTGGCCGCTGAAACGCCAGTGCGGAAGGAAGGGCCGCTCCAGAAAGACACAGCAGCTCTTTCTTTCCAGAATACCCTTTTCAGCATTAAGTAGGAGTTATGGGGTTAATACAGAAACTGCTGGATGAGAGACTGGTGTTGTGTTCTGCAGGAGGTCATATTACATGAATATAATTTTCTTCTCTGGTATTTACATCTAGGAATATTCTGTGTCAAGCAGAAGAGAAAATGTGGGATGGCTAAGATCTGTTGCCTGATTTATAGCTAATTTATCCTTAATTTACAGGGAAAATGATGACTAGCTAATATAGATATAAGCAGACATAAGGGAGTGAAGAGCATGGGATTTGTGAAATATGGGGATTAATAATTCATTGAATCTTATCCAAGCCTGAAGTCTTATAATGCATGCATTTTTAATTCAAAGAGTGCTAAGAAACCCTCAATATATTGACACCAGTTTTTGTGTTTCAGTGATGTAGTGATCTAATCACAGAAGTACTTGAATCAGTTTGCTGTCTTGACCTTAAAACAAAGTGAAAGAAAGTAAGGTAACCTGGTCTGCACAGTGGTTTCTTCTTCTACATTATATAACCATTAACAGCACTGGATACTGCATAATATCTGTGCAGGCATGAGAATTGGCACTATTTTAGCAATTGCATAAAATCAAGGA